ATAAATAAAATAACCAATCACTTGACGACTACAAGTTAGAATATCCCCCAGCAACATCAGTTCTGTAGGCCAAACAAACTTTGTTTCATAATAAATAACATTGGTTTATCCATGAATGAATGCCAAAATATACATAGTAAAATATAAAATATAAAAATCCTATTTACTAATCACACTTGTCAACAGTCCAAAAAATCCAGGTAGTGATATAAATATTTTAATAGATGGAAATTAAGCAATTATTATTTCCTTACATTTGTAGTTTTAAAAACTTCAAAAGCAGCCAGTTACACAATTTCATCTGTGTACCTTTTTTATTTCAAAACTTATAAACCAAGTCACTAATCTTTCTGAGCAAGTGATGCTGATACCATAGACTTTAGCAATGTAACTTCTTCAATTAACACAGAATTTTTTTATTAATAACGACAACTTCCAATTCTAACACAAAAAGATTAACTATATGGAAAATATCTTATACCACACATTCTGTCATATAGAAGAACAAATCCTAAAATGCTTAATTTAGACTAAACTCCAAATATTATATAAGAAGTCACCCTGATGTTGGCCCAAAAAATTTATCAAATTCACCTAAATTAGAAAGCTATTCATTACAAAAACTAATACCAATACTTTGTCCAAAATAGTCTTAAGAAATAGATCTTCTAGCTCAGATAATTAGCAATAAATTAATATCAAAAAAGCATTTCATAAATAACTTATACTATTTTAAGTCTCTTCGCAAATTTTCTTGTATCTAAATTAATAACTTAATACAACTTTAAACAACCAGCAACTTTAAAAAGAAAAAATATTATAAATATTAAGTTTTATATGAAAAACTCAAAAAAGAATTTATCTTAGCCGTATCAAGTATCTTCTAACATTATCACATGTAAAAAAATCTACCTCCTTACAATTCCAAACTGTTTCCTTCTTTGAATGATAGCCAAATATTTTTCCCTAAAGTCCAATGAAAAAAAAACCCATTTTACACCAAAACATAAAATATCCATTTTTTCACAGATAAAATATTGATATGTAAGTTCTGTACAATGATCAATCTCTCAACATAGTAACATAATTCACAAAATACTTTGATGTTAAGATAAAGAAATGTTTTCATACAAGATAACTCATAATTGTTTTTACAATGCATGTTTTACTTGTAAACTAAATTGTTGAAATAAATCCATACTTAGTAAAGTACTATTAAATTTTTAATAATTTCAGTAAAAATACTAATTAAAATTATTTACAAAGTTTCATATGGTGGAATGCAAAAGATATGTTGTCAGAGACTACTTATTCATGAGAGAGTTAAAATTAAGGAAGTTCAGATTTCCTTGTACTAAATTAAATTTCTAGACCAATAATTTAATCTATTGACCACTTTTATTTACACACTCTAAAAAAATAATTTAAAATTAAAATTTCTGTATTTCCAATAAACAAACAATAATTTCTGTAACCTTAATCAAGTTTGTTCTTACCTGCAAAATTCCTGATGATGACAGTACAACTTTTGTGTTACTAAGTCATCTTCATCTTCAGTTGGTGGACCTTGCAGGAGATGATGTTGAATCATCTGATGATAAAGAAATGCATGCTATGATGCTTGAGTTGCAGAAGTAGCAAGACCTAAAAGACTTCTCCATGAGTGGACGTACAGAAAGGAGGTGTTGATGCTGAGGTGAGACACTTTATATATAGTAGAGGAATTGTATCGTAATGTTTTGCCATTGGAATAGAAATGCTGCTGCTAGAAGCAAAGTGTCTCACTGCTAATTCGTGACGGGTGTAAGCGATTTTCATACCTGCAAGATATCCATGAATAAATATA